TTTTTGATGAATCATAACATGATTGTAGAAATCTCATGATTTTAAACATAACTAAACCTCAGTCTTTTACATGTGTTTATCGTGGCCTTGTAATTGAAAAAAAAAAGTTTCAATGAATTAATATTTGATAAAATTATTATTTTAATTTCTCATAAAATTATAAAATAAATTTAAACCATTAAAATTTAATCTAACAATTTAAAATTATAATTTTTATTTATACAGTTTATATAAAATTATAATAATAAGTTTATTAAATATTAAATATCAACCTTCTATAGGTCATAAAAGGAAAAGGAAGAAAATAAAGAATAAGAAAATAAAAGACACCCCTAGTCCACCTTTGTTAAGGAGGTAAACTTTATCCACACTCAATTACTAATCAGTTGTGATTTTTAATATAGCCTTTTAGTTTGTGGTGGAATAAACATAATACTAATTAATTAATTAATTAATAACAACATGTTCTCTGAAGTTAAGAAATTAGTAGGACGTGAAAGAAACTACTTTCACAATTTGGCCCCAAAATCCATCATAATTTTCTCTTCAAGTTTTAAATGTATACCATTTTTAGATATTAAACTTGCATAGGTGATCATCACTGAGATAAATTTCAGATTAGCTAAATCTATTTAGATGATATAAATATAAGGAAAACTACCCCTCAAATTCACTATACATATTTTGTTTTAATCCATATAATTTATTTTCGTAATTCCTCACCTATTAATTTCACACTCCGAATTTGAAAAAGTACTCATAAGGACCATGAGATAGCCCAAATGAGCAATGTTTATTTTGCTGACATGAAACATCAATACACATAGTTAATATTTTAATTATATTCATACTATTTATTCACCTAACCATCACCAGATTAATTAATTATATATTCTTTTTTTTGAAAGATTATTTATTTATTTATTCAAACCACATCCAGTGAGAATTATAATCATAATATTACATTTTTTTTTCATGTCACTCTTTGAGATATATACATGAATGCAACTGATTCAATGTAGTCCAATAACATACTGAATGCATATCATTCACAAATTTTTTCTAGACTAGTATTAGGGATCGAAAGTAAGGCTCATCATATCTTTCAAAACCAAAATATAAATTCAAAAAGCCAGGCATAGGAAGTTTCTTATCCTAAAGTAAACATATTTACAAACATCAGTTACATACAGTTCACATCACTAAACCAAGACCAAAGAGAAATCATCCAACTATACACACTACATAGTGCCATGAACATCACTAGGCACGTCCTTTCTAGTTCTAGTAACCATATACAGGTCATTCTCTAGCAACTTCTTCAAAACAACTTTACAAACTACTTTTTCTTCATAAACAAAAAAGCTGAGCATTTACTTTCCAGTCAAGCATACCTGGGCTTATAAAAAAAGCACATCCACAAAATTGGAGCTTGATCTGGTTCTCCAAAATATCTGCAGAATCCTTACCTGTCGGTTTATTCAAAATGATACAGTATGTAAGATGAAAAGGACCATTAACCCCAACAAGGTACTCCCTCGGGTCTATCTAACATATATATATAGCATTTCCTAGAAGTCCTGCTTGTTCCAAAATATAAGATACTGAGTAATTCTTATAATTTTTTTTTCAACTATACCCTTATCGCATTTATTATTCCTTTTGAAAAAATAGTTTGTTGAAATTTCAATTGTTATTATTAAGGGGCTAATATCCGCGTTTAATGAGAGTATAATTGGAAATATGTAAAATTTTTTTAAAGAGATTAAGATTTCAACTAATTTTTTTTAAGAACCATGAAGTAGTTATCAAATGTCTTATAACATGGACCAGAGGGAGTAAATACCATTAAAGAAAGGAAGAACTTAGGTTCAATTTCTAAGTTTTGTTATCTTCTTGTTCAATGGAACTACGTCAAGTGATTTCTAGACAATAAAAGAGATTGCTGTGTTGTAAACAATGTCCACGTATCTGATAGAAATAATTGATAAGAACTTTCCATTGGTCTTGTTCATATTAAAAGCATAAACATATGCTTTCAATAATAACATCCATAAAACAACAGCAAAACAAGTGTATTTGTTAAATTGGAAACTTAAAACAAACGTGAAAATTTTTGACAAATCACATTTGACATGAAGGACTGGACATCTTGCATTGGAAAGTAAGTGCAAAGTTGAAACTCTTTAGGAGAGTGAATTGCTAGAAAAGTGATATTATTAGTTTATATTTATATGATCGTATTATATTCAACAATAGTAAAATCAGATGGCATCAATAAATGAAGTTTATGAATTACGCCTAGATGAATGGAACATAATCAGGAAGGAGAAGATCTTATACATTTGCAGGGACAGCCACAAAGCATTATTTATTACTATTTGACAAGTATGAATGTGACAAACTTCAAAAATAGAACAGAAAATGAAAATTGTCATTAAAAAATGGCTGCATTTATTTTGAAGATCATATATGAAAAGATAAGAAATTCTCAATACTTGAAAGAAGTAGGGATTCAAACCTTAGTCACAAGTACAATTCCAAACACCATGCTCATGTGCAAGCAACTGTGACACAATCCATCAACCAAAAGAACCACTGCACTTCGACGATCCACATAAGCATTGTTTTCTACCTCTGGGTATTCTGCTCCCCTTAGCATAATCAGAACGGGAAATCCCATAATCATATGTCAACTCTGTCATTGGTGGAATATGTCTGAGAGAGAAAAATGCAATATGAAGGAACGATTGATTGTTTTCTTCATAAACAACTGGCTGCCAGAAAACATTTGGGGAGCAGCTATGATTCATGAATCTAGCAACATTTCCAAACTCTTTAGCACTTATAATTAGCGGAGATGGAATGTCATAATCCTCACAAGAGTCATTTGAAATCACATCTTCCAATAACTGAGGCGTATGATTCCACTTAAATGGAGAATATATACGGTTAGTATTAAAAGCATACTCATCTTTAATTGCTAACTCCTCATTCTGATTTAAGTTTCCCTTGTCAATAACTTCTCCAGCATATTCACAAACAAAAGAACCAGCACGAATAGGATCCAATGATCGTAGACCCCATCCCCTATCTCTTGTTTTGAATACTTCCAAGGAGTGCTTCAAGCCCATCTGGGATACTCTATTTTTGCAGTTAGGAAAACAACGACATGTGGGGCCACATTCATGAATTAATGGCCTACGACTCACTAGAATGCCATTGCCAATATATGGAAAATCACCTTCATTTCTCCGAATACAAGAGCAATTCAGATCACCAGGGACACATGCTTTTGTACAGTCACAGCCATTAGAAGACTGCATTAAACTGAACGGTTTTGTATATCTAAGGGAATGAAAATAAGTGAAACCACCAGGCAATCTATCATGGTCAACACCATTGACAAGTGATACAGGAATACTCTCAGCTCCTAAAGAGAGATCTGAGAAAATAAGTCCAGTCCTTGAAGAACGGTCTGTCTTCCACTTCTGAACTGATTTCCAAACAGAAAAAGCACTAACCTGTCCAGGCATTCTCACCAACTTGTACTTGAATACACCACTGCCATCTTTCCCCTTTTCTATCCATGAATCTTGAATTTTGTACAGACCATCATAGACATAGACTTTTAAATTTGGATTTGCAGCATCACTCATGCCCCGGATGACTCTTACTTCATTGTGCCGTCGTGAACTTCTTTCCAGAGCAAGGTTACCCCTTTGAAGCTTCTGATCAGCCACCACCTTTTCTTTCTTGCCAAAGTTCCCACTCTGTCCACTATAAATTAAGACATCGTCATCATCTGCATTGTCATCATAATATCCTGATGCAACAATGCTTACAGCCAGAGGTTCTTCCTCAAACCCACCCTTGATGCTCATGTAGTCAATCCCACCCATGGACTGAGCATGTATACCCACAACACACAATTCCATTCTGAAAAAGAAAATGTCCCCGATCTCAACCCCAGGAACTGCACCTACTCTCTTTTTCATGTTTGTTCGAATGCCCTTGGTCATCAATATATTGCCAGCTTTTAAATCTCCACGCTTGGTAAATCCTGAAGCGAATTCCCTGGCATCTTCAAGTTGGCTAATTCTTCTTCGAAGCGCATCAAACTCCATGAGTACAAGACTAACAACTTCCAAGTTACCATCAGTTTGTTGGGCTGGGCTAATGCCAACTACAGAACTTAAATCCACCTGTGATACTTGGATCTTCTTGGCCTTTCTTTGGGATGATTTTGACCTGCTCCCACGTGGTGCTCCACGTTTTGATGGAGTATTGTCTATAGGGCCTCTGAATGAACGGATTGGAGTAGGCATTAGAAAATCTGGTGTCTCTCCAGAGGGAGGAGCATGCTGGTTGAGATCGGTCCATGCTTGAGGTCCTTGAGGACCACCAAAGGGGAAAAAAGGAGCGAACCCAGAAGGACCTTGAGATGACATAGGGAACACTGGCAGCAAGCAACGCAGAGGCTTAACATCCAAAATCGTGAACTTGTCAAAAGAAGTTGAAGAAGGAACAGAGTTTTGGCCGAAACCTCCTTCCATTGCAGACCCCTTCAATCTAAACCTCAAAACCACTATTTTCCCTCAATAACCTACCCAATATCTTGTTCCCCACCTCATATAGAGATTCGTGCTTCGACACTCAAACCATTTGCAGCAGACACACCCAAATGCGTCACGATAGTTTCATCCTGGAAGATTATTTTAAAAGATTAGCAAAATAAATCCCAATGGGCAAATGAGATCACGAATGAAATTTTACTAAAAAGTTGATTGATTTATAGATAAATTGACACACAATTTGTCGAAATTCATAAAAGCTTAACAAATCATCGAAGCAATTGTTTCCTATAAGAAAGAACAAACAAGAAGGTATCTTTACCTTCTGAAGGTGCTTGAAGATTGCAGATCCTTTCTGTCAAATAGGGACGTAAGGAAGGGAGGCGAAGAATTGGAAGCAGAGAGAGAAAACAGAGTAATGGGTGCATCGATAAATGTGTTGAACTTGAACCTGCTGCGGACAGCCGGACAGTGAGTGGAAGAGGTGATGTACGAAATTGTCAGAGTCTTAAAATAATAAAATGTGCATTATCTTACCGAAAAACAATGTTAATTACGAGTACAGATGTATTTCTTTTATTTCTTTAATTTTTTTTTTGCCAAGCATCAATTTTAAATTAAATTTATGTAATTACAGAAGCTTTTACTCCTTTAATCAAATAAATTTGTTATTCTTAAAAGTTAAAATTATTAATTAAGTAATAAAATTGTAACTTTAATAGAAAATTTAATTTGATATTTTTCACACAAAAAAATTATTAAAAAAATAATAATAAAATCTTCTTAAATTATATAAATAATATTATAATTTTTTAAAATATCATAATTTCTTTAAAGTTTTTAAACACGTTTATGTTATTAAAAAATTAATATGAATAGTTAAATTGTTTTTAATTTATATTATTAAAAAATTAATATAAATAATTAAATTGTCTTTAATTTCATAAGTTTTATTTAAAAAATTATAATTTTTTTAATTAAAATAGTAAGAATTTAATAGCAATTCACAACTTTACATTTAAAATCATGATATTTTTTAAGTGTTGCAAATATCAATTATTATTTATAAATTTTATTATAAAATATACAATTTTTTTAAATGTAACGTAATTTATAAGTTTGCATTTAAAATTTTGAATTAAGAATAATTTAATTATTTATATTAATTCTTTAATAACAAAAAAATTTTTAAAAATTTTAAGAAAATTATGACATCTTGAAAAATTAAAATATCATTTATATAATTTAAAATAATTTTATTGTCATATTTTTAATTTTATTTAATAGTAATGTGTTTATATTTTTATTAATTTTTCTATGTACATTTTAGACGGAAGAAAGTTATTTTGAATTTGAAAACATAAATTAATTATATAAATTTGAGATTAAAAATTATATAATTAATTCTAAGTTTGCATAATCTTTTAAGAAAATAAAATTTTTAATTTTATTTTTTAAAAAAATTAAAACTTTTAACTTTTAGTGATTAATACATTTAATTAATAAAAAATAAATGTTTAATTAAAATAAAATAAATTGCATGGATATAATTCAAAATTAAGAAAAATAGAATAACTTGCTAATCATTTTTAAAAAACTAATGGTGAAAACATTCAAAGCTTATATCTACAGTTAAGATTTCATTTTGATCCACTTAACTATTATTAACAGCTAAACTACATCACTTAAAATATAAATACTGTCTAAAATTTACTTAAGTTACCCAACAAAAAGTTAATGCACAAATTTTTTATTTTTTTATTCATGTTTTCATTTTTTAATTATAAAAACTTATTTATACACACACTATAGTTTAAAAAAAAACTCAAGTAAATAGAATGGCTTGGACAGGGCAGTGCAGGCAGGATCATCGAGCCACTCGACCAACCCTGCTACTCACGTCAACACTACACCTAAACAAAATTATAGGATGAATTTGGATTTTAATCCTTTAATTTATAAAACAAACCCCATAATAATATTATTTTTGGCAATTTTGAAATTGGTAGTCAATGCATTAATTGAGCATCAACTCATCAATATTAATGCATTAGTTAAGCATTAAATCATTGATGTAAATGCATTTTACTTCTCCAATGCGCGGTTCCCATAAACAATAAAACAAATGTGGGCAAAAAATTAACAACAAAACAAAGGTGCCATAGTTACCAAGTATAGTTGGTATAAGTGGTAGATGTCCTCATCACTTAAATTATGATTTGATTATTGATTTATAAAAAAATTGTCAAAAGTATATTAGATCCCAGTGCAAGAAAAGTTTTGATGAATTTGGTTATACATTGTAACTAGAACTTGACCAAGTGTAATAGGTTAAAGAATACTTATAAAGTTACTTTGTTTTAAAATAAAATTACTTAAAAATTACGTAGTTTTAGTTTTTTTTTTTTTTAGTTAGTGCTTTAGGAAAGAAGAGGACTGAACTTTGATACATAACATATTCTTGAACGGAAAACAATTACAAAATCAAAGCACATCACTTAAACAGACCTTGAACAGAACACCAAAGAAAAACCATGGACACAATTTTAATCCATTACATATTCAAAGATGAAGGAATGCCCTTGAAGTACATGAATTCCTTTCTAACCAAACAAACTATAGAATTCCATAAACTTATCAAACTCTCTAAAATGAATTTTGAGGAATTGACCCAAAGTAGCAAGACACGCTCAACTCTCTCCAAAACTACCAAAGAGCCTATTCCAAAGGTTTCATGTCAAAAATACATTTTGAGAAAATGAGTAGCTTAGTTTTGATTATTAGTGGATGGAAAGAAGACATTTTCCCCATCCATGACATAGCTAGAGAAAAAGCCAACACAAATTATCAATATTTGTGTGTGTGTGTGTGTGTGAATTTGGCAATGTCCTGTATGTCTGGGCATTGACATAACCTGCACCAGACAACAATGCCAAGTTATTGAACATTGACTGCAAATACTGTATGAACATAATGATGACCATCAAGCCATGTTAGAGATCCAAAATTGTAGCCTTTATGGGCCTCCTTCCCATAGAATGAGACTTCATAGGATAGCTTTGTTATGTTCTCAGAGAAAACAAGTTTACTGGGGAGCACCTTGACAATCAATCCCTCTGGTGCATGCACTTTTGCTAGATATGTGACATTAAGGGGTCCCACATTGGTAACCGTTCTTTTGATTACTTTGGCTTGCTGGGTCCTTCTGAGCTTTTCTATGGAGATTGATGGGTAGTTTATGTTGGATATAAGGTTTTTATTGGATTTCTTTGGGCAGTTGAATTTAGTCTTAGACATTGACCTTATGTTTTTCTGTGAATAGCCATAATAACAAAGGAATCTGAGGTAGTCTTCAACTTCTGTTTCAAAGACTAAACCAGGATAGAGAGCTTTGAGTGGGTTAATTTCCCCAGATCCCATTTCATGTGGGTTGGCAAAGTGATTTGAACTGTTGGTCACAGGCTTCCTCATGTTGTTGTAGGTTGTTGCTGGAAACAAGAAAGTGAAAAGAACTGCATAAGTATCACTTCTCAATTTTAGAACTCATCAGTTAATGAACATTTTGAAAAGATCAAACTTGATCAGGCTCAGCAGACTACTTGGGTTGTGATCAAGTCTAATTCCCACTTTCCATAGACCATACTCTCTTCAGTCCAAAATATAAGTAGCTTTTAATAATAATTCGCATACCAATAAGATCTTTATTCTCATAAAAATATATACTATTTTCCTTTTTTTAACCTTTAGTCCCAATTTATGATGAGTAAGAAAAAAGTCATAAATTTATAGTAAACACAAGAATCCAAGTTAATAAATACAATAGGTAAAATGAAAAGAAATTTCTACAAAAACTAAGTTGCTTATACTACCTTTGTTAAAAAATATAAGACATTTTTAACCAAATCTCACCTCCCAATAAAGTAGTTACCTACTTTCAAACTAACCCTATCTTTCCACATTTATCCCCATTAAACACCCTATAATAGATATGAAGTCATTATCAATAGAGGCACTTTTAAAAAAAAGATAATGATTGCACCTCAAAAGACTAAAAATACCTTACATTTTTAACAGCCAACTCCTCAAAAAATGTCTTACATTTTTAAATGGAGAGAGCAATTAGGAACAAGATTAATTGAGAAAAAATGGGTTATATTTTGGACCAAAGGGAGTATAGAACCACTTGTTTTTCTTTATTTTTACACCCTTTTTAATCCGATCAAGCATGATCTTCACATCTTTTTCTTTCTTCAGGAGAGAGAGATGTCTCGAGATAGATTAAAAGAATGGATACAATGAAACTTTTGATTCTTCAAGTTTGCCTTAATTATTGATTTTGTCCTTGAAATTTAATCTTCCGCAATCAAGTCCTTAAAGTTTCATAATGATACACAATTAATCCTTAAGTTGTTATTTCCCTTTCAAACTATAAGGACTAATTGTGTGTGGTTATGAAACTTGAGTGTCCATAATTTTCATTATCCCTTGAAAGAATAAGGACATTAATTATTGAACCTGTTGTCATTAGGGCTGACTTGATCATTGAAGGACTCCATCTTTTATGTACTGATTTTATGAATGCTGCGGCACCAGTCACATGTGGGCAAGCCATGGATGTACCAGAATTGAGGCCGAATAAGGATGGTCTTTCCCCTGGTGGAACACTTCCCGGTGCAGTGCTCTTGGGTACTATGGCAGCTAAAATGGCAACTCCTGGAGCCATAATGTCCGGCTGAACAACACAATTGCCACAATTAGTGTTGTATAAGAAATGTTGAGAACATTTTTCTCCACATGAGAGGCTTATAAGTTTGCGTTTCCTTGCTCAAATTTGAGCATTTGGTAGGGGGGGAAAATACCTTGATTATGTTTTCTGTAAGAATTGAAGGACCTCTAGATGAGAAAGATGCAACAATTGGTGAAGGCTTAGACCTAGCAACTTCTACTGTTGGAAGAATTGTCGCAGTTGGGTTCCTGTCATGAAGGAAATAAGAAAGAAAGGCTGAAGATTTTAACTTTAAGTTTTTAATTTTTCCCCCGTTGTTGGAAGTTTTTTTTTTTTTTTAAAGTGATGCAGAAGAATTAAAGTTTATGTGAAAGATGGGCCACATGAAGCATAAGCTACGACACTCGTTAGAATATGAAATTTGGGGATGCTTACTTGGTAGAGTTAATGTACTTTAGAATCTGATTCCCTTCAAGATGACCAACATTTGAGCAGGGAAAAATGCCTGTGTTAAAAGGATTATCCTTCTTGTCCTCATCAATCAGTATCATCCCCATGGCTCCTGCATCTTGTAAAACTAGCTGTTTGATTCGTCTTCGAACAGTTGGATCATCAGCAACACAAATCACAATCTTGCCAGCAGCTTTATTGGAATTCAGTGATCCAGGGCCACAGTTCCTGCATTTCATTGAAAGAAAATTTCCTTATGTTACAATTACTTCATTACAGCTTTCTAACATTTAGAGCAACAACTTAGGTGTTGCCGGTATTAGTGCCACTGCCTACTACTATATATATTAGCAACATGTACAAATAAGAACAATAGTATTTTGCCGAAACAGATCTTTCTTTGGGTCATATATGAGTTATTTTCAGAAGCTTTTGACAAGGTAACACTTGAGCAGGAAATGAGACATTAAGAAATATTTCCAACTTCATACTATATAGTGTATTAGTGTGACAATAAGGCAATGAGGATATTTAAAATGAAAAGAAGCTAAAGTAGAATTATTAGGTCTTTGTTATCAAGTTTTCTTTAGTAGTATCATTACATGTGGAAGAATCTTCTGAATGAGATAATAATGTAATATAAGTTATAAATAATGTGTAGGTGTTATTTAAAAATAAAAATAAGAATTAGAGTCTAATAGAAAAACTTTGCCAAAATCATATAGTCTCTCCGAATCACAATATAAAACATCTTCTAGAAGTTTTGCTTGGTTCACAATTTAGGACATTGAGTAACTTTTATAATTGTTTTTTCAACTATACCTTTACTTCATTTATTACTCTCTTTTTTTTAAAAAAAGATGCATTAAAATTTTAATTACTATCATCAAAGCTCTTATATAAGGTATTTAATGAGGGTATAATTGAAAAAATATAAAAAAATTTAAGAAATTAAAGTTTCAACTATCATTTTTTGAGATCTGTAAACTAGTCATCGCTGCCCTATATTTTGGTCTAGAGGGAGTATATCATTTCAAAATTACATACCTGGCTTCTGATGCAAGGGAAAACCTAGCAGCCACATTCTCTCCAAAAACAAGAGGATACAACTTTGAATGAGTGAGGTTTGAGAAGTTAATGCCAAAGCCCTACCAGCACAGTCACAGGTAAAAATTAGATTTCCTATGCATGAAAACTACGTCAAGAAATTTACCACACCTTTCGTTCTACTTGGCATCAGAAATCAAGAAACGTACTTGAAAAGTTTTTCCATTTCCAAGGACAACACTTGATTGAAAGTTCCTATCAATATTAGAAGCTGCAACAGTGAACAGCCATGGAGCAGTGTTCACAACAGTGGAAGGATCAGGACCATCATTCCCTGCTGAGCACACCACCATGACACCTTTTTCTTCCGCATGAAATGCTCCAATGGCTATGGGATCACCCAGAAAGTCTGCTTCAGACGCCGAGCCAATCCCAATGGAGATTGAGATTATATCTACACCATCTCTAACAGCATCATCTATAGCCTTCAATATAGTGCCACCTGAACAACCTTCTTGTGAGCATACCTTGTAGGCGGCAATTCTAGAAGATGGTGAGCCGCCTCTTGCTGTTCCTTGTGCCAAACCAAAAAAACTAGCATTCTTAACTTGGGTTCCAGCTGCTGTTGAAGCAGTATGAGTCCCATGTCCAACAGAGTCTCTTGGTGAGTCTTTGGCTTCTTCACCATGAGTCTTGTTTCCATCTGATTTGGTTTGGGTATTATAGTATCTTGCACCAATCAGTTTCCTGCAAATTCACGGAGATAAGAAAATTTTTACCATAGCAGTAAATCTGCATATTTGATCATGCCAGTTATTCTCATTGAAAAATTTCATATATAGGAGAAGGAAGGAATAATAACCTATTGCAATTGGATAGCTTGAAATCATGACCCTGCATGCAGACTCCTTTCCATCTTGAAGGGATTTCCCCAATACCCTCATCATTAAAACTTGGAGATTCTGGCCATATCCCTTTGAAAAAGAATAGATATAAACTAGAATGAACAATATTCTTTAAGGTACTTGTTTATATTGTAATACATCACATACAATTGCTTTCTAATTAAGGTCAAGCTTAGGTCATTATTAAAATAGGTGAAAGTTATAGTTTTTAAGAGCTTCAGGGGCGAGGACGATTGTTGTGATGACTTAATATGAAGGCCGGGTTCTAATGATATGCTTTCACTGTGAGTGTGACATACAAACCGAACTTCACCATCACTGTGAGTGTCCCTTCAAAACTCCTCAGGCCCAGCAGTTAAGCTAATGTGAGAACAATAAACATATAGTTTTGTAAAATAATATTAGAAAAGAAAATCAAAATAATATTTTTATAAAAATAGTCTAAATTTAAATATAATCTACTCAAAATCTAAAATCTATTGAGCTTTAAGTGAAATATGAAATACCCATTTTTTTAAAATGAAATATATTTTAGTTTGGGTATAATGAGTTTAAAAGTATCGAGACAATGTGGGTAAATTTTTAAAAATTTCACATACTCTTTTGTAAAATTTTCCAAGTTAAGTGGGAGCACTTGCCCACCATCATCACTACCTGTGTCTACCATTAACCCAAGGCATTTATGAGAATTGCATTTACAAGTGAAATTCTTGCCCACCCACTTTGCAAAGTACACTACCATGAAAACATATGTTCATGATGTCATTTTAGGGTGTGTTTGGCCTAAAATTTGCAAAATTAAAATTTGGAGCTGAAGTCAGGGTTAAATCAGTTGTTATAATATGATTTATATTTGGATATTTTACTAAACCTTAGTTTTGAGTCAAAAGCCAAAAAAGTCAGCTTCTTACCGAACCTCAATTTTGAGCCAAAAGTCTTTTCCCATCAATTTTTTTCCTAAACAAGATTAAAATGATCGAACCTCAAGTTTGAGATCCAAACCTCAGTTTGGCCCACCCAAACTGAGGTTAGGGATTAAACAAGAACACAACCTTATTTTTTGTCACTATGTCATATGTTAATTGAAATTTTGTTATCAAGTAATGAGTTTGTAGCTCATGTGACACTTGGGTGTTTCATTTCAGGAGTTTAATTTTTATTCGTAACCCTTAATGAATATAATTGTGAACATTTGTTTGTTTTTCCTATTATTCCATATGTGGAATAATACTGTCTTTTGGGTATAATGTTGAAAGAAAAGGAAAAGGAGTGTTATCTAGCAAAATCTACAAGAAGAAGAACAACACGTACTCTGATAATTAAACTGGACTGAAGCAACACTTACCAGTGTCTATAACACCAATAATAACATCACTTGAAAAGTGTTCGTGTGGGATGTAGCCACGTGACATCATGCCCAAATCTGATTCCAAAAAGTCCCAGGATCTTGTCGTGTGCAATTGAAGAACTGGATCTGGAAACACTGACACGACACCATGGTGCTCTGTTTGAAAATTACTGAGTCACAGTTAGTTCATTAAAGTACAAAATAAGTAATAAACGTTCCACAAACATATATCAAAATGTGCTTAAATATGATTTAGTTTAGTTCTTTCCTTTTTTCATGCATTAAACTAATTAGTCCTTTTAAGATTGGTGAACAAAATTACATATACAAGTTTGATTAAGAGAGCATAATTTATATTCATGGAAGAAAAAATGGTTTTAGTTTTAAGCAAAAATAATGATAGCATTAGTGAGCTTCGTTATTGTGTTGAGAACTCATTAAGGACCTCAAAGAAGAAGAAAATGATTAACTATGACTTAACAACAAAAACATGCATTCCATACTGTGTAGGAACTGAAAACTTGTGAATAGTAAATTTTAATTTGGTATACTCTGTTCATTCCATTTTAATTTTCGCTTTAGCAATTTTTCTTCCTCTTACTTTAACTGTTGTTTTATGATATCCACGAGTAATTAATACTTAGTTTCCAATTCTATCATTAACAAGTAATTAACATATGGTTCTTTAATTTGCAACCAATCACGTGAAATTTTAAAAAAGAAAGAAGATATAATAAGAATCAAAGGTGGAGACGGGACCAACAAAAGTCACAGCTCCCTAACTTTTTAAATTTTTTCTTAGCAAAATGTAAGGGTTATATTTTCGACCCTTGAATTACTACATTATAAAAGCTTTAATATACTATATGAAATTCTCATTTTAATTTTATAATAATCTTTTATGCATGTATAATTCAACTGTTGCAGTAACTTAAAAATATAATTGTCATAGTATTTATTTATTTTCAACAAGATAACGATATATTTGCTTTTAAAGCATTGATATCATTTAATTTTACTTTCATTTTATATTTGATTAAAGAAATTAAAAGAATTATTACTAACACATTTTATAAAGTGCCACAACAAAAATCCCAAGATATATCAAACGAAGAAAAGAACATATTATTTAAAAGAATTAAATAGTAAATTGAACATGCAAGTAATAGAGTTTTTTATATTGAATAGAACTTTAGATCCCAAAGATATATTTAAATTATTCAATACTTATGGGAAAAATGAAATATTTGCCAATTTAATGAAAATTTATATTGAGAAAGAAATTTTAAAATTTTATTGTAAACATGATAATTAATTATTCTTATACCATGAAAAATTAATTAGTAAAATTTAAAAAATGAATACACACACATATTTGTTATATATTTGTAAAATTGAACATAAATATATAGGTTAAAATATTTATGTTATGTTAGTGATATATATAGATTTAATTTTTTTTATTATTATAAATGCTTTATCATTTCAGCCTCCTAACAAAATTTTATAGCTCTGCCATTGATAAGGATAATCCAGTAAAATTAAATTATATAATTTATTAAGTTACTATTACCTTGTTTTTTAAGGTACAAGGAATATAATTGTTCAACAGTTGAGCCTAATCTCCGTCACTGTATTAGAAGGTAAAAAAAAAAAAATAAACATCTCCTAACTAGGTTGTGACATATACAAGTGTTGGAATTTAGATCTCCAACCATTTGTTTGATAGATAAGAGCTTCTATATTTTGTACTCACTTTAATTAAGCCTTGCCCGATTTTGCATAGGGCAAGGCTTAAGAAATTGAAGAGAAAAAAAAAGAGCAACAAAACTTTTAGGTTTGGGTCTAAAAGCCTTGCAAAACAAAAGGGAGGGTTAGGATCGTTGAAAATCTGCCCTTTTTTTAAGGTTATATTGTTATTTTGAGCTTGAAAAACTCAAAATTCCTAGCTGAGACTGAAAGTCCCTTTATCTTTTTTTTTTTTTTAAATCCCATGCATTGGGGAATACCTTAAACAAAAACACTTCAAAAGAGACAGTATTGAACTCGCACAGGGTCATGCTGTTATACTTCTTTTTCTTTTTGGTGTCCTATAATTATTTCTTATTAAATTTAACAACAATGTGACAGTATTATTATTGGTTTCTTAAACACCGTCCAAATTGCAGGTGCATGCATCTAATTCTAATTGTTAGAAAAGCAAAAGAATGGCGAAAATATATTTTGAAAAATTGGAAAAAGAGGAAGCAAATAAGACGAGTACCAGACAATGCAGAAGCTTCACTCTCTGTAAGCATGGCTGAGAATCCACTAAAAGCATGGCTGTAATGGTGGATTAGAGCTATCCTCTCACTCTCTCCTCTGTGAAAAGTTAAAGTTAAAAAGTCGTATTGGATTAGTTTCACTAATTTCAATGCTAATTATTATTTTAATTTAATAATGAATTAATATGTTATTAGGATGTGGGAAAAAAAAAAAACGCTTCTCAGGGTATGGCCCCGCTTTTAGTAAGTTTATATATGTCTTATTGTGAGGATTATAATAAGAACAAAATGCTCCTAACAATAATGAAATGTTTGAACGTGGAGAAATAATCAAATTGTGATTAAATAAATTAATATATATAAGTTGCAAGATAAATGAAAAACCTTGGAATAAAGGAAGACAATAGCTGCAAATGTGCTGATTCTGGAACTTGAGAATCTAACCCAATGCTGTTTGATGCTGAACTTCCCATGTAAACAACATAAGGCTACATGTAAAATACAATAAGAAAAGCTTAAGAAGTGATCTTAATTAGAGTAAAAAATAACAATGACCAATTAAAGGCAACAATATAATCTTCAGGCATTAGAGAGGTGTCAGTGTCAAGCTTCTCTGTCTTGATTTTCGGTCATGTCCTCTCCATATACATGCACACAAAACAAAATATAGGCATGCCTTACCTACATACATACATGCATGCATACATATATGAAAACAACATGACCAATTGACTTGGAGAGAACTCCTAGAGATAATAATTTAAAGTAATAAATAATGGCAAAAAATATGACTTGTCAAACAAAAGAGAGAGGTCAGGTATTCTAGGTCTTTGATCTAAACTAATTTAGTTAGCAGTTTGTAGACATCTTTTTGGAGGGCATATCTCTCACCAAGAATTTAATTACTATTACATATCTAAAGTTTGAACTTGAGACCTTTAGTTAAAATGAACTAACATCCCTAGTCAATTGATTTTTGAAGAGAACTCCAACTAGAGGGAGAGATTCTCCTTTGATTTTTTTTTTTGTTCTATTGACTCTTGAGATAACAAAACAAGGTAGGTATATATATTTTGTGATGTGTCTCACTTGACCATTCATGTGTGTGTGTGTGTGAGAGAGAGAGAGAGAGAGAGAGAGAGAGAGAGAGAGAGAGAGAGAGAGAGAGAGAGAGAGAGAGAGAGAGAGAGAGGACCTTGGGAATTTGATGTGATGATGATAAGGCTATGGAAAGAGAAAAGAGGAGGAGGAGAAAAGGTACAAAGAGGAAACGAAGGAATTGCAGAAGGGAAGCCATTGAAGATATATATGTGGAGAGAGAAGAAAGAGCTTCTTTCTGTGTGCTGATGATGAAGACGAAGACAAGTGCATGAGTTATGATCAATTTATAGGCCAAGTGAGAACTGATGAGAAGTGAGACTGAGATTTGATGCTTCAAAGTTCAAACATGAACCATGTGAATGCACATCTAATGCTTGTTTAATTCTTTTTACACTACTTGTATAATTGGGGTTTGGATACAGTGAGGCGCACACATATGTACGTGGCACAAAAATTATTAATTGTTTAATGGAATGTCTATCAAAAAATTTGTCACGCAATATTGAAAAAGCACCAAATCTTAAATTTTTAAAGAAATAATATAGGCATGAAGGTGTTTTGATTGTTGTTTTAAATTTTTAAAAAGAAATATATTTTAATAATTTTTAAATGTTGATGAAATTTAACGATGGAGACATTCATTAAATATATGAATTTATGTCACTCATTGAATTTAAATATGTATACTTAAATAAAATGTGTTCTTTATCCATTAAGGAGAACATTGATGTTTATCCATTGAGCAATTAATCATTTAATAATTATGAGTCAAAAGTCTTAAAAATATTTTCTGTTATGTGCTGTTCTGCATTTGGATATTCCGAGAAAATTAAATGGGGGGGGGGGGGAAGCAAGATCTTAAAAGAGACAGGATTAATTTTCATTTCCTTAAAGAAGACGAAAAAGAAGACGACAAAATATGCTTCACATGGAAGCAACTTAAGTCTCTGTTCGTTTCACGGAAAAGAATCAAAATCTTTGGATTTACGTTTTCATAAATAAGATAATAAAAAGATCTAAGAAGAAGAAGAAGAAGAATATCACATGCTTCAAAGTAAATATAAATAATAATATACATTAATTATATTATTTAATAGTGTGGTGTTCTTTATTTTCCTTTTTTTCGTCTGTTCCTTTATGTTTTCGTCCCGTCATTTTCTTCTCGTTGCTCAATTCACGTGTTGTTATAGTTTATATTACTTACTTTGATTTCAGCATCTTCTTCTTTTGTTCCTTTTATTTGGATATATTATCTTTAATTCTTTTGCTTTTAGCTCCGTGAAGAACAACTCTAAATATGCTTAGAGAGCAAATGATGAGCTGACAAGTGCTACCACGTTGATCATTCTATAGATTCTCATGCATAAAACCACGTTGCAATAATATTTAATATGCATGATTTGTGAACACCTGGATCCTACTTATCTTGGTGATCTTTTCAACAAAATGTTGCTAATTAGATATATTTGATTAGGTAATATACAATGGTGGAGAGAGAATATATTTAGTCTTTTAAGCCAAACTTTGATTAGATACTTGATTAGGTAAATGTTTAAACAAAAAATTAAAATAATGGGTCAGTAGTATATGGATCCCTTGAAACGTGAGGAGTCCCAAGATTTTCTAAAGTAAAGAGAGGATGTAATATGGCACTGAGTTTCATTTCAGGTATGTAAGTCAAGTGTATATCTACGGAGAATATCAATAAAGGACTTTTGAGAAAATTTAATACCTGATAAAGACCTAAATGAACTGAATACTTGTTTAAAACAACAATTTTACTCATTAAATAATAATGTGTACTTGTTAGCAGTTCTTTTATAAAATTAAATTGCTTACAGGATACTTTATTGATATTTTCCCTTTTAACTATCTCTAAAAATATTTATGACAATTAAGGATCATCTAATTTTAAAATTTCAAAAAAGGACCATAGTCTTAGTTAGTGTTAAGCACTCATTTTGTACATTTTTTATACTCATATTCATATTTTCGACACTTAGTTTTTCAATTCTCTCATCAATCATCTTATATATGTTTTTTAATATTTATCTTCCACGTTTTCAACATTAAAAAACAAAACAAAGATAAGTGTTAAAAATAAAAGATGATTATTGAAAATATCAAAGATGACTTTTGGAAAAAAAAGAAAAAATGATGGTTGAAAATGCTAACGTTGAGTATTGGAAATGTAAAAAAATAGATATTAAAAAAAATGAAAGATGAGTGATGAAAAAAGAAATTAACTTAGGAAAAGCTTTGAGAAAACAAAAGATAATTTTTGAATTAAATGGGCGATCAATGTGAATTTGAACTGGAAAAACCTTGAACTTATAATTTTCCAAGTGATGTGATGGGTTGGTAGTGGAGAAAATTAATGAATTTGAGAGTAAATCTAAGTAGAGTTTCTAAATTATGGCATGTGATCTTTTAGCCTATGTGGCACTATAAGTTGATAATAATGGCCTATAAGTTGCTACCAGGACAGAGTGCTAGATTTATGCAAGCCTCCTTTGTGTGGGACAAAATAAATAATACCAAAACATATTATTTTATTTTGTTTGTTCACAACAAAATAGGTTGGTTACTCAAAAATATTAGTTTCCTTTAATTGCTAGATTGATTGCCTTGTATATTTATTTGTGTTATATAATGCTAAAAATGAGACAATTATTCTTCACATGTGATTGGTTCAAGGATTTATTTATATACTTATTTAGCAAAACAAAATTGGGGAAATAGTATGCATTGCATGCTTTTAAAGCAGAGGCAATAGTGACCTAGGATAGGCACTTAATCTTTAAATGGATACCAATAAATTTAGGTTGGTTCAAGTTAGATGTAGGTGACTCCATTGACAGCCAAAACCTTCTTGGTTCAATGGCACTCCATGCCTTTTAAGCAATGATTTAAAAATAAATCGGACCAGATGAACCATCGATCGATTAGAGTAACAATTAGGTCAAGCCAAAAAAAATTGTTTGGGAAGTTAGGCTAGGTTGGACTGCTTTGAACCAAAGATCGAATTGGGAACCAAAATTAAGCCGTGAACCGGTTCCAGTTTTTAAAAACTGAACTGTTCAAAAAATGTCTCTTTTTATTTTTTCTAGACAATGATTAATTTTTTTAATTATTTGATGTTATATTGTATTATGTGGTTTATTAAGTCATTATAAAAATAAAATATTTAATTTTATTTTTAAGTTAAGTAGCAATTTCATATTTATTTTTTATATTTAAATTATTTTATAAATATATAATTTTTTTAATTTTATTACTACATCACCAGTTCGACCATTAGTCTAACCCGATTAGATCATGTGAACCATAAACTGCTAACTTTTTTGATTCAATATCTGATTCGGTTTTGAAAATACTGCTTCTAAGGGGGGGGAAAAAGGTTGTGGATTTCATACCTCATGCAATGAAGGAGTATGTGTGTAGTACTCTTTCTTTTGTCAAAAGAGCCACTCTTTGTTACGAAGGAAGGGACAAGTATATAGGTGTGTACAAATGGGTGTTTATATCTAATCTATTTCAAAAAAAAAAAATTGATTTCGTTAACTCGAGTGAGTTCACTATCTGTGAAAGGTCATTCGGGACTCTCGAGGAATTTGGAAAAAGGGTTTACAAAATTTTCAAGGCATCAACCAAGTATTGTTGCAAAACTTTCGACAATCTTATGAAAGTCTAGAACTTTGTTACAAGAAAGCTTACTTTTATATCAATGTCCACAACAACTCCTTAGAAGCTATTTATTTTATTCAGAATGAAAATACACATACTAATCCTCTTATCAATTATATTAGAAGAATTAGAAATCTTTTTATACATGATTAGCAAGTCTCTATTGGTCATGCATTTAGAGAAGTAAATCATTTTGTTGATTGATTGGTTCACTAAGCTAATATTGAAATTTTTAATGAATTACCACTGTGTTGTAGGGACTCTTTACATCTAGGCATATCTCGATTTATTTGTAACCACATGATTTTTTGATTATGGGCTTGTCAATCCAAAAACAAACTACAAGTGATCAAGAAACTCTAGGTTTTAGGTTGAGGTGTGTATAAAAAGTCTAATCTTGTCTTAAAATAAAAGAACTTAAGGCCAATATAAAACTAGAATTTCTTAAAAATTGCAACATTGTGTAGGATCTTTTTCTTTCATTATATATATATATATATATATTGTACATGTTTTGTAATGATCCAAAATTTAAATTAAATAATTTTTCTTCCCTATTGATATTTTATTTAATTATTTTAGTTATAACACATGAGGAGTAAAGGTCTAATAGAATTTATATTAGTTATTTATATGAAGGTTTATAATTTGAATCTTATTTAAGTCAAATATTAATTTTATTTTTATATGAGAATTATTAAAGTTTTCTTATATCTTTTATTATTAAAAATATTATGACGAAAAAAAATTCTTGGGGTATCTTTTTGAAATTTTTCCAACCAACATTGGGTCTTGTTTTGTGATTTTTCTCATCATTCTTTGTCTGGAATTTTTTGCCCTTTCGGTCATATATTACGTACAGTCAGGGATATAGAATTCATTTTCATTCCTTCGGGTCTTCTCCTTCTCCCATCGAGTCTCTTTTCTTCTCACCATCCCCTTGTTCTTCTTCACACCGTGGGTTTGTTTCCAACCTTCACTGATCCATTTCTGTCGCTGGTCTGTTTCTGTCGATGGAAATTTTCCTTTGCTGCTTCTCTAGTCTGCGTTGGTGCTGGTGGGTGTAAGTTGACGTACGTGAGCTAAATCATTTGAGCGGAAGTGCTGCACGTGGTTCCTTCTGCTTCTTGGTGTTGTTTTGTTCTTCTGCTGTCATTGTGTCGTGCCAGAAACTCTTCCCCTATTCAGCCATAAATATCTCAAAGCTTGAAAATTAATGCATGAGAGGTGCTTGGCAAAATATTTGTTAGAAGAAATTGAACTTGATTTTTTTGAGAGAATTCATTGAATTCTTAGCTGTGAATGAAATATAGTTATTTAAATATTGGTGTTTGATAATATTGGGTAATTATTTGTGGCTGAAAGTAAACAGAGATACTTTAGGATATATAAATGGTGATGATTTTGAAAAGAGTTTATATAAGGTTATGGGAAGTTTATTAAAATTTTATTATATTTGATAGGATCATTAGAAAAAGAGAAAACTTAATTGAAACTATAAGAAAATAATTTTGAAACTAGGAGATAAGCCAGGTAAGTAAATAATATTTCTCAATAAACAAAAGTAA